CTCCCAGGACGCCCCGTCCTCCCTACCAGATTCCACCCATGCCACCCGTCGTTTCGCCACCGCCCTCCCCACCGTGCGCCAAGCTGCTCGCCTTGCTCCCTACGCATGCCCCGCTGCGTTCGTGTGGCCGCCCCTCTGGCAGACCATGCGCCCATCACCCCACCCGCCCTGCTGATGCCCCTGCCGGGGGTGCCTGCACTCCACTGGGGCTTTGCTCTGCATGACCGACCCCGCCCCACCCGCTATGCATGGCACGCAGGCCGCCTCCGCCGCCACCCTCTCCTCCTGATGGGTCACAGCAGAACCCCCTGGTGCGCTTACAGTCCTGTGGAGGTGGAAGGAGGGGAGGTGTTGCCGCCACACAATCGGGACTCCTTTGCCCAGTTGGGACCCGATGCCCAGGCAGCTTCCTGGCTACCATGGCGCCCACCGCGTGCATCAAACGCCCCCTGCCTCCGCCCTGCCTGCCCGCCTGACTGCGCAGACCTCGGCCAGCTCGCTCGGCTCCTCCACCTGCTCCAACTGCGGCGACAGCGTGAGCGCCAGCACCGCCGCGGCACGCGCCTCGCTGCTGCTCGCACGCCCGCGGCGCCGAACCTTGTGCCGCTGCCTGGCTCCGCCGCCTCGCCATCGTCCCCAGTGGCCGCCATCTCGCCCCGCATGTGCCTCCGCCCTCACCCTCCGCTCCCCATCGCTCCCTACCCCCGCCATGCGCCCTGCCTGCAGAACGGCGACCTGGGGTGTGCGGGCATGGTGGGCGTGCCGCGCGTGCAGCCCCTCAACGACTACCGCCTGGTCTTCATGATCAAAAAGGGGCTGGACACATACCTGACCAACAACAAGGTGCGAGAGCGGCGGCGCTGGTGGCTGCAGCAGTTTGCGTGCGCCGCACAGTGACAGCCCGTGTAATGGGCCTGTGGCAGTGGGGTGGTGGGGTGGTGGGGGGGCTGGCCGTGACGTGATCCACCTCCTGCGGCACGCCTCGCCTCGCACCCCACCCAGTGTCCCCCCCCC